ATGGAAGAAGACCAGTCCGTTACTCAACGAGGATTTGGGACTATTGCCCTTGGACATCCTCAAGAAAGTCGCAGTCATGCTAGGCCTCAAATCCAACGTAGGCACACACATTCTTCACAGAGCTGGGACTCGTGTCGAAGACAGTGATCGCCGGCACTTGCTTGCCCGTAAATAAGTTCCCTCCAGCCAGTGATTTGGTACCTCCGTAGTCTAAAAAAGAGATCCTAAAGGACTTAACATACATTGTAGCCAAAGTAAAGCGACTCGACCAAAATATATAGTCATCAACAGGTATATAATCAGTCACGGAGAGCGACATGTATATAATCAGTCACGGAGAGCGACTCCCGGCCCGATACTCCCGTTCTGTGTGGACGCAGGCACTCCTCTGCCTCTTCTTGTCCCTCGCTCTCATCTCCTTCGGTCCTCTCCCTCTTTCCTCCGGACCTCGGTCCTGCGCAGTACGTCTATTGGCAATGGTATGGTTGTCCGAGCCATTCCTCTTAGACCTCATGGCGTCTATTTGATACCTACCATTTGCTGTTCATTGGGCACGAGTTGGCCAGGAGATTGGGCACGAGTTGGCGTTCATTTCATTGGCCACGAGCTATTGCCGTGCGTGATGAGCTCATTCATCGTCAGCCTTCATTCCCAGCTTGTCCAATAGGCAGCTGGCATACTGGAAAAAAAAACGGATTGGGACGCGGTGCGGTGGGCTTACGTCTTGGAACTCGTCTTTTTGTCTGGTGACTTCTTCAAGCCTCTCTCTCAGAGACTCGTTTTCTTGCCGCAGCTTCTCAGTCATATCTTCATCCTTTTTGCTCTTCGGCTGCACCGACCCTTTCCCCTCCAACTGGGCGACAAGGGCTTGTCGCTCTGTAGCTAACCGACCGTTCTCGTCCTCCAATTTAAGCAATTTCAGCCTCATATTTTGGATCTCTTTTTCAGACAGGGAGTTCTTAGTTTGCGCCCTGAGCTGCTCGAGCTCCCTAGCCTGGTCATCTAACAACGTTTGAGTGGAGTACAAACTCGTCTCCGCATTCTTATACTTAGCTCGGAGATCATCCAACTCCACCTTTAGTTTCTCCTGAGTTTCTTGCGCTTCTTTCATCAAGCCCCTCGCCCTGCTTTTCAAGGAATAGTATCGTTTCTCAAACATACCAATAGCTTCCCGCTGCTGCTCGACCTGAAATGGGAGTGACATCTGGTGGGGTGGGGTCCCCCGTCTGGTGGGGTGGGGTCCCCCGTCTGGTGGGGTGGGGTCCCCCGTCTGGTGGGGTGGGGTCCCCCCGTCTGGTGGTGGGGTCCCCGTCTGGTGGGGTGGGGTCCCCCGTCTGGTGGGGTGGGGTCCCCCGTCTGGTGGGGTGGGGTCCCCCGTCTGGTGGTGCGGTAACTCACATAGCTAAGGTGACTCACTTCCCTTTGTCGGGAGGACTCCAGCAGTTTTTCAAGCTCGCGAATCGTTTGTCGCAAGTTGACACAGTCATCTAGCGCGCGACGTCTCGACGAGTCCAGCAGATGGCAGAAGACCAGAATTTCATCAGTCAGGCCGGCCAACTCGCCACTCGCCTGCTTGGCGGCCCCGGCAGGCGCCACGGCAGCAGACGAAGACTGTCTCCGCATCGGCTTGTCGACTTCCTTAGTCGAACCACCAGCTGTCGATTGCGGTGAAGAAACTCCCGACATCTGACCTCGTCCTGCTGACGACGCCGTGCCCGCCGCACTCAATTTGGCCATGCGCATTCGGATTTGCTCCACACTCATACCGCCCTATAACAAGAACCTCATCACCCTTCCCTCTCTGCTGGGGCGCTCCTTTTCCCGTTATTCGTCACTCCCTTTCCCGTCCTGCGTAGCCCTCTTGTTCTAGGTGACCCATCCACCACCATCTTACGTGAGCTCGCTCATTCTCTTTGTTCATTCCCAGAAAAAAACCCAAGACCAAAACAAGGACCAAGAAGAGCGCAACCTACCGACCCTCCCAGTCGTAACTCCCAGTCACAACTCACCACGTTCCAGATCATGCATTTATTACCCAGAGAGACAGAGGCCTCTCCACCCAGCCCAGCCATCTACCAGCCGTGCTGGTCCGCTGTCTGGTCCTCCACTGCCTGTTCTGTATCAACGGTCGTATCATTCGGCTCAGCCGTCGCCGACAGGTCCGCAGATGGCGTGCTTCCAGCTGCAGCTTCTTGCTGGAGAGCCGCTTGTTGGGCAGCCTCGCGTTGAGCCAGTATGTCCGCAACCCCCGGGTCTAAACAAGCTTTGATAGCTTCGTGTGTCTTAGAGAGAATTCCTTTACGATCCGTCTGCACGAGCTGACCATGAGCCTGGTACAACTTCGCGACGCTTTCGGTTTCAACGACAGCGACAAATGTCCGGGTGGCATCCTCAAGCGTCTGCGCCGGCGCATTCGGAAAAGAGACTTGGCGCTTTTGCGCATATAATTCCGACGCTGCTTCCAAACTGCAGGCACCCAACACGGCTTGCGGTGTCGTCGTGACGGCCGCGAGAGCCAGCAACAACGTTTCGGATCCTTGCGCTTTCACCACGGCCTGGGAAGCTTTCATGATCTAAATTTTTTAAGACCGACAGGCCCACCGATCCGTGACCGACCGACCGACCGACCGACCGACCGGCCGGTGCTGTGAGGCGAAAATCGCACAAGACGCTTCATGATTGCCAGCCAGGCCGGGCCGCTCTATGAGGCGTCGCGAATCTACGGCATGGCGTCCGTGAGACTCGACGCCAGATCGGCCGCCCAATCAATCAAATATCACGGGCTGTATAAAATCCCCCCCCCCTTCCGTCCTTTGCATAGAAGCGTCGATCTCCGCTCTTGACCTCACCTCATGATAGAGCCGATGCTTGTAGGCGACTGACGGCGCGTGAATTGCTCCGTGGTATTCTCCGAACCGTCTGTATCACGTCAGACCCGACAGACAGCGGCCCGAATCCGAGGCCTGTATATTTCACTAAATCGGTAATCGAGGACGCTGTACGCTTCAATTGATTGGTAATCGGCGAAGATTGATGGCTTTCTCCAAGGAGACCTGACTCTCTGCCGAAGCGGCTCGGCTGGCCCCTTGAGGTGGTTACTGCGGCATAGCACTGTTCACGGAAAGAAGAACAACGCCGTTTTTCTGGGACGGGCAATCCCCCCCCCTCTGG